TGGTCTGGCTGGATCTGGCTGGGGTCAACTGCTGTACACCCGACTGAGTTACGCTCCATCTAATTACATCTGGCTAAACAGGCAATCAGGCATATATACTTATATTTCATCACATATATAGACTTTAGTGTAAAGTCAAGTCTGACTTTGGCAAATTATCACCATTTACTATCAAATCAATCAAGGGAACTGGAAATGACCACAGCTCTACTTTAGGGGAGAATGATCTTCCTGGGGTCAAAACGTTGTAATTTATTTGATGGTAAACTAAACCAACAGGGAAAAAAATCTTTCATCCTTTTAATACAGATGTGGTCTATGAAGTTCCCTTCAAAGGGCAATGTTTTAGGCTGATTCACTGCTCCTTCACATTACCCAGAAGTTAAATCAGTTTTTATTTTTATCTATTTTTGCACACAAACAGGAAATTACATCTCGTCATAATTGTATAAAACTGGATGTTTTATACAATAATACTTATTCCTTTTTTATAGAGTCCATAAAGAGTGATACCAACAGTTCTAAACCACTTATTCTCCCAAGGTGTTAAAAGCGTAAGACTTGATTCAGTTTGTTCGGAATTTGACCACCATCAGCGCTGCTCTGTTCAAATTTAGGTATTAGATTGTTTCCACACCATGCCAAAAAACTGTTCCCTGTACTTCCCTGTACTGTAAGAAAAAAACTGTTCTTACCCATCTAAGATACAACAATGACTGCAGAGATGACAAGAGTCTGTCTTGTGCTAGAAGTTGGAAGTATATACAGTAAAAATCACATGGGTAGAGTATCGTTCCCTGTGGTGTTCCTGTGCTGCTGACTACCTGGTAAGACACCAGGGGTGCACGAACATCTGGTTCATCAGGTGCACATCAGTTTCACGAAGCAGGTTTAACAAATTCAGATTAAAATCCACAACTCTAAATTGATCTAGCCTTAACTCTGAGCCTTAACTCTGAACTCTGAGTGTTCGGTTCACAACGGCTGTTAAGAATTAGATCAATCAATTTTAAGTGGGTCCACTCAGAGTTAAGCGTGTGCATAACAAGTATGAAAAGCTATTATCAGAGGAGCACCAATTCAACGAGTCACCATGACAACAGGCGACAGGAAGGGCCTATTTCACCCCACTGGAACCAGAGATTTTAATGCAGAAACGCAAAAGAAATCAAATAAAAAAAAGGAGAGTGTGTCAAAAAACAGAGAAACAGCACTGCAGCTGCAATGGAGAGGAAGGTGGCGAAGGAGAAGATTGTTACTTGAGTTAATGTTTAGGTTCATATGAAGTGGACTATGGCAGGCCATTTTAACATTTATTGAAAGCACTCCTCTATATTGTTTAATTTGTAAATTACTAACATAAGATTCTTCCTGATCAAAATCTTACTCTTAGACTGAACTGTAATAACATGTTTCCTGAATTACATTTTTGTAGTAGAAACTGAAATTTAGAAAGTAAAAAATATATACTAAAAGGAATTAAGTTCTATATATCTAGGAATGTTTACACATTGTAATTGGCTGTTCTGACATTTATCAGCTTGACTGAAAATGTATTTATGATATCTGAAAAAAAAATTTCATAGTTAAAGTAATACAAATGCTGACGAGTAATATTAGGAGTACAGAGATTCAATTCAATTCAGTTTATTTATATAGTGCCAATTCACAACACGTCATCTCAAGGCACTTTACAGTTCACTAGATCATACAGTCAAATTGATTAAACGTTTTCTATCTAAGGAAAACCAGTTGATTCCATCGACTCATTGATTTGAATGCAATCCCTCACACTAAGCATGCTTGTAGAAACAGTGGAGAGGAAAAACTCCCTTTTAACAGTAAGGAACCTCCAGAAGAACCAGGCAGAGATCTGAAATTAATTCATTTATAGACATCAAGAATGTTTATTCTAGATGTGGAGAATTTCAATTTGTTGAAATTCTCCACATCAAAATAGTTTGAAATGGCCATTTAGACAAAGAAAAACTTTTTTTTCAGATATCAGGAATTTATGAATGTATGTTCACGAAAACCAGTACATATCAAAACGGCCTACCATAAAGGTTATTACCATGAAAATATTACAGGATTATTTCTTCAATGGAAGCAGATCAGTGTATTTATCTAGGTGAAATCTTCTGGCAGTAGGTAAAAATGTAGTCTAAAAACGTTCTATTATATAGAACCTGTGGATCATCACGCCTCTCTCCTCATGTTGATTCAGTCTTCTTTAACATAGTAAAGGAGCTGTTTGCAGCTGCGCTTCAGATGTTATTGTCCCAATAAATGGTCGTTATAAGCGGTTATCAGGCCCATAGGTTGGCCTCAGATTGTGCCATTAGACTCATTAGGTTATCATCTGGTGAATCCTAACCATAAAGTAATTGCTTTTCCCCCATGGAATGAATTAATCAATTATGTGTGATCTGAAAATTATTTCAGTATTTCTTCATGTACTGCAAATATAACTAAATAAAAAAAAGATCCACATTTTGCTCATATTTAAAAAAACAAAAGAAGCAATTTCATGCCCTGCCAGGTGAGTTGTAGAATCCTCTCCCTATAAATATTTAATTCTCTTTGAAAAAGTGCTGATCATTCTTTCACAAGATCCTCGTCGAACAGACATGCAATTTTTGATTTTAAAACCTAATGTCTGTAATGGACCTTGTGAATGACATAAATATTTCTTTGCACAAAACTACGGCCTAAATTGTACTGAATCGGGAAATAACACAACCTGATTGGTTGTAAGGAGAGCAGAGACAGAGGACATTCTGACCAGGTTAGCTCTGGGGAGAATGTTACTATGGTGACTGAAACAGAGGTTAAATAAACTCTCCATGTGAACTGTAAAAGCCAGAGTATCTCTGTTTCCCTGGTTAAGACAACTTAGAGTATTCGGTAAAACTGCTTCGGGAAACGGACCCCAGACCCCAGACAGGCTTACAAACTGTTTGTCAGTCTTCCGTATCCTTTAAAGGAATAGTACACCCAAAACATGATTAGCCTTCATTTTCTACTCACCCCCATGCTGAACAACACTCTGGAGTACTTTTTTGATATCTCAAATGCATCTGGAGATCTGGGAGGCTTCTTGCTGTCTGCTGACACTCAAATAATGGAGGTCTATAGTGCCCGAGGCAGAAAGGTCCATAAAAGTCCACAAAGTCAATATTCCTCCATTCTGCTCGTCCAATGTATTCCAAGTGTCCTGAGTGGGTAGCGTCCATAATTTACTCGAAACGAAGTCATTTAGAATGTTTTTAGAGCATAAACAGTAGTGTATAGGATTTCCTAAAAGCGCGTTCACGAGTCTACGGAAACCGCGGCAGACCAAACAAGACGAAAGTGCGCATTCAGCTCGGCAAAGAACTCATGCTCTTCCTCAACACTGAAGTCCTCAGATATTTTTCTTTCGTTGTTTCTTTCTTTGCACAGGTAAACAGCACATTTCTTCTTCTACGCTTGCATTATCGGCAGAGCAGACGCTGAATGCGCACTTTCTTCTGGTTTGGTCTGCCGTGGTTTCCGTAGACTCGTGAACGCGCTTTTAGGAAATCCTATACACTACTGTTTATGCTCTAAAAACATTCTAAATGACTTTGTTTCGAGTAAATTATGGATGCTACCCACTCAGGACACTTGGAATACATTGGACGAGCAGTATGGAGGAATATTGAAACGTTTTTTGTGGACTTTTATGGACCTTTCTGCCTTGGGCACCATAGACCTCCATTATTTGAATGTCAGCAGACAGCAAGAAGCCTCCCAGATCTCCAGATGCATTTGAGATATCAAAAAAGTACTCCAGAGTGTTGTTCAGCATGGGGGTGAGTAGAAAATGAAGGCTAATCATGTTTTGGGTGTACTATTCCTTTAAGCTGTGCATGATTTTTGTTATGTTAATTTGATATTCCCTCCTCTAACATTCAGCTTTTAATTCACTCTATTTATATAGTGCTAACTCACAAAACGTCTTCTCAAGGCACTTTACAGAGACCATTCAATTAGATCATACACTCAGATTGTTAAAAAGTGTCTATCCAATCATTTACTTGCTGGACATGCTCCTCCTGAAAGAGCATGGGGATGAGCAGTAGATATTTGCTTGCATTTTGTGGTTAACTCTTCAGCAATCCCTCAAAATGAGCAGGCATGATGTAACAGTGGAGAGGAAAACTCTCTTTTAACAAGAAGAAGCCTCCAGTATAAACAGGCAAAGTGTGAGCGGCTGTCAAGGAGAGAGAAGCAGACATACAAAAGAATTATACAAGCAATGATCCTTAAAAACTTTATATGTTAGAAAAAGTAAACAGTGAGCTAGATCCACTGTCTAAAAAAATTAACTGATAGGGAGACAAGTTCTGAGTCAGATTTCATAGCAAAGTGATGAAAGAGAGAACATACATTTAGTCACAGTAAAAGCTTAGGGCCAAGCCAAGAGAGAAATAGGAATAAGCACAAAAAAAAAGGCCCATGCCCTGTATTACACTACGTTCAGGCATTTACACGCATACTGAATATGGTATACTAGACATAGGCTCCACCAGGAACTCTAACCACCATCAGTAGGCAATGCAAGTGAAGTGTCTTCCCCAAGGACATACCGAAACCCTTCGGCAGCAGGGCGAAATCTTGCATCCAACGCCATCATCACCCCTTCATGCCAGCAGCCCAGCTGATCTTTCTCTCAAGGATCATGTCACAGCTAAAAAGGAACAGACTGGATGAAGCTACTATGGCAAAAAGTGCAGAGAGAACACAAACTGTGGCATTTAACAAACAAATGCTGCAGAATGGTCACAAATTTCATAACATGATGACTTAATGAGAGGAATCAAGTCATGCCACTGCCATAAGAGCAGATTAATTTCAGTGACAGGACTAGTTAATAGTTGCTTTCATATGTTTTTTGATTTTGCAAAAAATCCTTACAATCAAAGATTTACACATAATTTAATTTTCCTTTTCTCAGACATGAGAACCAACCTGCCTCATGATATAAATTTGGGAACCAGTTTTTTACACAGGTTTCGTATCTTAGACATATTAAGACCATACAGAAGAGGGTTTAAGAAAGGTTGACAGTTTAGATAGTACAGTGCTAAAAATATTCTTAACATACCAGGAACGTTATTCATGTTAAATCTGCTCTCTAGGATCTCAAAGGAAACACCAAAAGAGAAATTGATAACAGAAGCAAGGTGAGGAGTGCAGGTGCTGACAGCTTTCTGCCGGGTCTCTTTAGACCCCGAAAAACACACTTTAAGAATCCTCATATAGGTGTATAAAATAATAGAAATAGGAGCAAAGGCTGCGAGAATAAGCATTACCAGTTCATAGATGTTATTGACTCTGGGCTCGTTACAAGCCAGTTTAATAACAGAGTGATTAGTGCAGTAAATCTTATTAAGGACATTTTCACAAAACTGTAGAGAGGAACTCATGAGTATGGTGACTCCAACGGTGATGAAAGAATATATCCATGTGACAGACACTAGGAAGACGATTCTCTGGGAAGTCATCAGTGAGTTATACTGCAGAGGACGACAGATAGCAACATATCTGTCATAAGACATAACAGCTAAGTTACCGAATTCTACACTTCCATAGGTATACATACAGAAAATCTGCAGGAAACAAAGAGGAGCAGAAATAATGTGAACATCAGAGAGGATCTGAATCAGCATGAAGGGAAACAAGCTTGTGCTGCCAAACAGTTCATTAACAAACAGGCTGCAAAGAAACATGTACATAGGCTCATGTAAGCTCCTGTTCAGACAGATAACAACGATCAGTAGAACATTAGAACCAATGATTAGAACATACAGACACAAGACTATAAAGAAAGATAAGTACTTCAATGAACCAGTGTCAATGTATGCACTTAGAGTGAAATATAACACCTGTGTTGAATTAATTCTCATCCTTGTATTAGTTTGTAATTCTATCATAATCATGATTCAGTGGGTTACCCACTCCCCCAATAGTTATCCATTTGTCTATAAACTAAAACAGAAAGTCAATTTTAAAACATCAACACGAAATAAGACACGGAGGCATGTTTCCACCAAAGAAGAGATCAAAAAGTTAATGTGCAACTCAACAAGTTGCAGTTTTCCAACAACACAACAACCATTCAGGACCTAGGACCTGTGCCAGGACTAATAACTGAGCTCAGATCTGCTAATCTTAAAGAGTCCAAACAGAGACACCCCCAGCAGCAAAACTCGATGGTGACAGAAAAGACGGTTCATTGAATATTACATAATAAGCTATTGTCCTCCAGTGGATATGTTTGGGTTTCTTAGCTACCAGAAGGACTACTCTTTCATAACATGCTTTAGTCAATTTCATACCTTGTCGGAGGGATAATTCCTGTTTTTCAGGAGAGGGCTCAGCCCATTATGTACAGTAAAATTAATTCTTGCTGCTATAGAAAATCAAGACATTTTGGAAAATTTTATGATGTCATTTTTTTTTTTTAAACAGTTTGGGTTGGGGAAGGGCACACTAAAAATTACATCTTTAGGAATACCCAACTAGAAATAGTTCTAATATGATCTAAATGCATTAATTTAGGGGGTTGTTTTTACGCGATCAGCTTGAAGTAAGGGCAGCTTTAATTGATGACCTTCTTACACAATGCAGTTTTAGTAATATTTTGTGATTCAGTATGAATTAAGGTATAATGTGTGCAAATCACTGTTTATCAGCAAATGAAATTTCATTTGTTTTCTTTATAATGTGCCAATTAACAACGCATCATCTTAGAGCACTTTATAGGACTATTCAGCAAAGTTATTAAGTATTCAGGGATATTCAGGCGTGGTCAGGAGCACTGGAATGGTCCTTCCCATCTTGGGCTCACCCAGTTCTTCCTTCTGAGGACTTTGATGAACACCCGGTCCCCTGGTCTCACTGCTTGCGGATCATGTGGATCTAAGGTTCCTCTGGAAGTGAATTTGCATTGGATATCTCTTTAGACTGCAACATATCTCTCATGTGATCGGCTATTGTCTTTTCTTCCCCCTTAGGTGGCGTTTATGTTGTGAACAGAGTTATTTTCATGTGCAGTTTTACTAGGCCCAGGCACTCTGGCCATGGCCTCTTTGTTTCTTCCATACACTTTTTAAGCCCAAATTTAACTGTCCCATTTGTTCTTTCCACAAGTCCTGTACTTTGTGGTTGATAAGCACAGTGATTCTTTAAGGTTATTTGTAACCTGCTTGCCATTTGTTAAATCACCTGATTCACAAAAAAAAGGACTATTATCACTGCAAATTTTCTGTGGGATGCAAAGTTTAAAACAACAACTTTGCATATAGCTTTAGCTACTGTCAATGCATCTGTGTGCTTTACTGGGACTATTTCAACCCATTTTGAAAATGCATCAATCATTACTAGACAGTATTTGTAACGGCCACTTTGTGTTAGTCAATAAAATCCATATGCATTACTTCAAAGATTCCCTACCGATCTGGAAAATGTCCCCGTTTTGGTCTTATATTACCTTGAGGATTATGTCTAACACAGATTTTACAGGCTTTACAAAACTTTTTTTGTG